TTCCCCCCCCCCCCCCCCCCCCCCGCTGACGTCACAGCTCACGCCAAACTGCGTTTATAAATGAATTTCAATGAAAAATATATCTTTCATTCACAGACTTTTTTTTTTTTTTTTTTTACTTTTGAGGAACTTAATTCGAAAGTAATGTATTTAATTACAGTGAATACCAAGCTACACGTGCTCACATATTTTAAAAATGTGTTTGTAAGACCGTCAAAAATATGAGCAATGCCATAATGTATTGTTGATATTTTCAAACTATAAGCAGCTGAACTGGCGTACAATCCCAGGCCGCTTGTCATGTGCCCCGTATTATAAGCATCACACCACAGATTCCATTCTTTGGCCTCCGAGTCGCCCTTTAAAACGGACAACCACTTACTTTTGGAAAACCAGCCATTTTGCCACATGTTACGTTTGAAAGTAGGCCTACTACTAGTAATTACAATATGAAGACTCGCCGAACAAGACTATCGTGTGTGTGTGTGCGCGCTCATTCGAGTGACAACGACAAGAACATGCACGTCTGAATTGGTGTGGCCTCCCGGTACACCACTAAAACGGTTTAATGTGCCATTAAACCCAACGAGCGGCGTTGCCTTTTACTTTTACATATTTGAAGCAGGTTTTCAGCGGCGCGTGGGGATAATAACAGTGATGACTTTCCACAGAGCCTGACTTCATTTCCACAGTGGCACAGGAACAACCTGTTGCTTTGTTGTGGGACAAAGTCTGCGTGACTACTTGCAGGTCAGGGTTTAGAGGTTGGGTAAGTATGTGGCTTTGTGTCAACCATCTGGGTGAAATGTTACAGACCCGGGTCACTTTGAAGTCATTTTATTTTCGATTTTAGTAACCTATTCATTTTGCCCGGGGTGTATTTGATTTCAAGAGCACAGGCAGAGTTTTCCTGTTGAGTCACCTCCACATACATCTGCATCAACCGTCGCTTGCAGTGAACCCGGAGGGGTACGGGTGTCTTTTTGTTCATGAGGCACTAACTGACCCCGTAGCTTTAGCTTAGCTCCCAGCTGGTGTTCACGTTACAGCACTGCCTCCAGTTACAGCCGGTGAGATTAGTTTTCACCTCTAAAGGCCTCCACACCCAGATCCTCTGATGCGTAACATTGTATTTTGCAGAGCTGACATTGATGATTGGTTTGTTTTTCTCTATTGGTTGTCACGATATTAAGGAGTTGTTGTTTGTAATCACCTAAAATAAGAGTTGTTGTGTTTAGCTGTTTACATCTCCATCAAAAGCTCCCTACAGTTATATAACCTTTACTCATTGTAGTATATGAAGTACTTCAAGAAACTGTATAACAATCCAACTAATTTAATGTCCTATTCTGTTTGAAGGTGTGTCTGGAGAAGTCATAGTGGAGAACGGCTGGAATGTGACGGAGCCAACTGCCTCTGACCTCCACGACGGCACCAACCATCACTGCCACAAACACATCACCACCCTGCAGAAGGAGCCTGTCCTGCCCAGTTACAGGCCGTCCTGCTCCTCCACCCCCATCTACTACTGCAGCCCCCAGAAGAGCCAAGCAGACCTGAGCCAGGACAGCCACAGCTTGACCTCCCAGGACTCGGGTATCCCAACTCTGGAGATCAACCCTGCAGAGACCGTCCTCCACGGCCACCATCGGCCAGGTGACGGAGGCTTCCTCCCGGACTCCAGTTCCTACTCCCCTGCCACACTGACTTTAGATGATGATTCCTCTGATGGCAACGCCATCCGGAAATCCTCCACCTTCCCCCGCAGCGGGTACGACTCCATCCGGCTCTTTAGCCCTGCCCTCCGACTATCCGCAACCGCGGGGACGGGTCTCGGAGGCGGAGGTCTGAACCGAAGTGATGACATCTCTGTGTGCAGCGTGTCGAGCATGAGCACCGAGCTCTCGGTCTCCAACGAAGACATCCTGGATCTCACCGTCACCTCCGACTCCAGCGCCATTGTTACCATGGAGACCGATGACAGTAATTTCTCAGACGTGACGCTGTCATCGGAGAGAGACCTATGGAGCCCAGTAGGTGCGCATCCGAGGTCCGTTGGCACGCAGCAGGAAGAGGACGGCAGGCAGAAGAAGATGGGTCCTCTGCAGAGCTTGTTCAACAGGTACGTTCAGAAGGACATTTTATTTGGACACTTGTCCAGCTTGAGTTAATTGCACGGTTCTTGACAGCATCAGTCCTTATTTTTTACTCTGCTCCACTCATTGAATCGGTTGGTCGAACTGGGCTTCAATCAAGAAAGAGATGTCATGTTTTCTTTTGTGACCAAAAATCTATTTTAGATGAAGGACCATTGGGTCATAAATATTATTGATCTATTCTCTATTGTTTGATGCAGCTCCCCCTTATTTAACATAATGTTAGTTATGTATTTAATGCAACACATTGCAAAGTATTTGGATAAAATACGTCTTACTCTATTATAAATGTTGGCAAAGTGCACAGTAGGTTAGGTTGCTGAAAGCTGATATAAACATTTTTTTATGTAGTGCTGATTAATACTAGGAATAATTTCTGAAACTAGGGAAAATCCTACATTTGTTATATATCTGTCACGTGTTGAGGTGTTTGCATCTATATGCAGCATTGTAGCTCAGCCTCGTTCTGTGCTTGCTGTCATCACACACTTTTTGTCTCCGAGGGCTTATCGATGCCTCACTGAAGACGACATTGCTCAAAGCTACTTTACAAACCTCGCCCAGCACTCCTGCGTAGTGCAGCTCTCTTACAATGTGCATAACAACACGCTGACTAGAACGCAACGGCGAAGCTGCTGGGCTCCCCGCGCTCCACGTGGTTGCTGATTGGCCCACAGGAAGGCTGCATCATACTGCTGCGCTGTCTGCAAAGAGGACACTGAGGCGCTGCTTCTCATTTCTGTTGGTGTGCGAGCGGCTCCTTCCTCTTGCGTCCGCACACACACGCGCGCGCACACACTTGCGGTGCTGCAGCAGCGCTGCCCCACACAAGCTTTAGACTGCTTCTGCCACTTTGACCGTCTGTGGACGCAACTGATGAGGCTGGTGAGCCCATCTCGAGCTGCTCTCCAGCTTACTGTATTCCCTTGATTCTCGGTTAGGTTTCTTTAGTATGTTATAGGTCGATTAGATCTAAAGGTAAGAAATCAGCACCCTTTTGTTAATTGGTTTATTGACTCCGTCGGAGTAGACACTGACCGGAATTGGGTAAAGTTATCATGAATCTTTTTTTTTTTTTTTTTATTTATTTATTTTTTTCAAATATTTTTTAATTTATTTTGAAGGGACCGTTTCAAAGGGCTGTCAAGAGGATCTTGTTAAAGGTGAATGAGAACAAACACTGTAAGAAACCAGCCGCGCTGCACTTTACCTTCACTAAATACCGACAAATCAAATGTTGGAATCCTAAGAGTATTTGACAGCAGAGCATCGGGGTCTCAGGTCAACCTATTGAAAGTCATTAGCAGTTTGTATTTAGCTATTGAGACCAAGAGATTAAAGGCAAGTTCACAGGATTTTGCAGCAGCATATATGTAATAAGGGCAAGAGTCAAAGATCAAAAACATGTTTTATGAATAAGCGGTAATAAAACTGCTACAATTATGATTGATTTCGCGCAGCAGAGCGTTCTGCAGAGGCTGTGGCACTGACGGAGGCCGCTGACGGAGGAGGTCTGGCACCACCTTGGAGTTCAGCAGGCTCTGTGTCCGTGATCACATGGGGCATTAATCAGCCGGGAGGCTTTACTTTTCCTCTCACTGCCCCGTCACATTCCATTGAGGCCTGGATTTACCCTTCAATGAGCATGATGAGAAGTTTTACAGCGCCTTGTCAAACTTGTAGTTTTTGGACCAATCTACTGGTAAAACCTTCTGTATTCCGACACCTACTGTGATGACACGGTTGTATTGTGTGTAATTGAACATGGTTCGAGGTTTCATTTCAGGTTTTAAGACATCCAAAGTACCTGCAGCCTATAGTAATATAATGGCATGTCAGAACCTGGTTATTACATATTAATTGTAATTAAAAGTACAAGCCGATTGGTGCATACTTTTACGGGGCCACTGCATGATCACATACGACTCCTCTGGCTTTCCCTTCTGAACAAAAGCTAAACTTGATCTTCTGGTCAGCGTAGTGGATCTGAGATGAAGCCGTGATGGTGATCCGTCATGCTTCAGCGGGCCGCGCCTCCCAGTTATCTCACCGCAAAGTTACTCATTCCCTCGGTGGCCTTGAGACTCCGTCCCCTCCTCCCCACAGCCAGGCCGCTCATTGCCTGTTCCTCCACAATCCGTGAGAACCCCCACCCTCTCCTCTCGCTAACTAAAGCTATGGAAGGCTCGGGCATTAATTGCTTCAGTTCTCGCTCTCTTAACTTCTTTGAGCGCTCCACCTCCAGGTTCCTGGTTGTTACACTGAGGACGCAACGTAAGGGACGTAAAATCCCTGGAGACTCGAACCTGAGCGGTGCAAAGTCTCGACCAGGATGGAAAACACAAACAAGCTCAACCGGAGCCGTTCAGTCTGCCGTGTTGAATGTTAGGACTTTTTTACTTGATGTCGTGCGCTCTTTGATATGCAGCATTGTTTTGTGGAGGCTCACCATGTTGCAGCATAGTTCAAAGCCTGCTTTTACACTTCATTCTCTGTGTGGATGTGTTTGGATGATGTATATTAAGTCAAAAATGTATAAATCTGGGTATATCTTTTTTTCAAAATCACACATTTGAACTGCACTGCTCATGATTCATTCTGCCGTTGGACTCTTAACTTGTTAATCTCGGAAAAACTAGTTTAACACGTTAAAACTAGTTCAACAGTGTTTTTCTAGACCATGTCCAATGGTCTGTAAGATCCGGATCATGTCTAACCACACCGATGAAGACTGGAGAAGAAAAGGCTTGTAAGCAGACTGATTTACGATCTTGTCCTTTTTTGTCAAACTCTTGGATCAGATTTTGTATATTTTTATCCTCCCTTCAATTCTGCTGCTTTGTTCCTTTTTTTTATTTTCTCCAGCACTGGTGGGGTGATTAATCACAGCAAATATCCACGTATTACTCGACCTGTTCCCTTAACAGCTCTGTGTGAGTGTTCAGTGAAACGTGATGCATTCGAGTGTAATAAAAAAAATAAGAAATGGCGTATGAATGGCCTGAATGAAGCAGTGACTGCTGCGGAGTTTTCTGGTTTATCAATGAACATTCTACAAAACGGGCATCTTTTACAATTACTTGGTGAAACTTCTTAAGTGCAATTTTGCACATTTGAATTTAATTTAATTTTTTTTATTATTTGGCATTGTCTCCATTCTGCTAACTGGTTTTAACTTCTTTGCACTCTGCAAACAAGCAGCTCCATGACAAATGTCACCAACCTAGTAGACCGTCAAAAATGTGAGTTGTTGTATTTTTGATAATTTCACCCAAAAACTGACCACTTCAGTCCTGACTAATGGTATCGTAAGAAACTAATGTATCCCACGCAGAGTTCAGCTGTCAACAAGTCTTTAGTGAGAACATCAGAAGGCCACACATCTCTATGAAACGTGATGGACGCCTGCAGCTGCGTCTGCTCGGTGCTCTGAAGCGTGCTTCCTGTCCTAAACGGACTATGTGGAAGTAAAAAAAAAAAAGGGCAAACTGTCAGATTCGTCCAACTGGGACAACTTGTATAGTCAGACCTCTTGTCCACCTCTCCAGGGCCCACTCGGTTAGAACCGCGTGGTGTCAACACGTTTTGTTTAATGTTGCATCTAACAAATATTCTCCCATAGACAGACGGCTCAGAATCATTACGGCTAGCCGAGGTCATTGTCCTCCAGATGAGATGCTACCTGGACGACCAGCGGGATATGAAGTCTTTGTTACAGCCCGTTGTGTCTCCCGGCCCGGTCACCATCAGCTCTGTTCACTTTGCTTCGTGTCACAGCCGGGCAGGTGGCACCATTCAGGCTTCTGATGAAAGCGGACGCTCGGGGACGACGGCGCGCTGATGGATGAATGAAAGAGAAATATGGCTAAATGAGGCGGCGTCAGAGGACGGCTTTTTCTCTGCATTTAAACAGAGGATGGATGGAGTCGGTATTCCTCAATGGGAGCAGCAAAGAAGCCATTTTATCACACTTTTAGCAGCAATAGTTATTGCCCCGGTCATGGGTTTAATGTCTGGTGTTATTAGTCCTCGGGCCGTGCTCAGCCTGCCAGCTCCTGTGGCGTCTTAGGGGGCAAAGATGCTCTTAAATCCTCAGGCTTCTCGTGTGAGCTGATCTCAGCAGCGAGGCACAAACACACACGCTTCACACGCACACGCTTCACACAGCTCTCCGGGGGCCCACACAGGGACCCAGTGAAGACCGGCTCTGCGTTCTACGTTTTGCTCTTGTGCTACTATGACCTCCTTTTGTTGCGATCTAATTCCCGTTCCGTTGGTCTCTCAGGAGCCTGTTTGCCAGGAGGGTGAGGGACAGTCATCCAGCGGAGCACAGGGATCCCGGCTGGAAGCTGTTTGGAAAAATCCCGCCACGAGACGGCCCCATTAAGGACCCGAAGAGCATACAGAAGGTAGAATCGTTCACGTCTGGGGGCAAAGACCGAAGTTGTGTTTAGTGGCTATTTCCTACCAACCAACTTGTTCATTCTGATTGTTAAAGGTGTGTTCTACTCAGCCTAAGAGCTCTCATCGCACCAGAAGTCCTTTTTCCTTTTAGTCTATGTGAGTTTTAGGAAGCATTTTGTGAATTTCTGTTTAAATTTGCGCTGCGACGGGCAACTTCATATTCCTTGCTTTGGAGTGCAACTTTGGTGTATTGCACTAAAGCTGCGTCCATCTCTCTTTCAGACACATTTTCTGATTGGGGCTCGTCCGTTATTTTTTTAAAGCTCTTCTATGGTTTAAGTATTCTGAATATCACACAAAAACCGTAACAACAACAACTTAAAAATTGGCCAAACCTTACTTTTGGTCTTACTGTTCAGAGAGCAGCTGAAGCGGCGCTCTGCAGCGTTTTGTGTTGTATGTTCAAGTAGATATTCGTTGCATGAAGCAACAATAGGGCTGTTTGTTGCTTCTCACAGGTCATTTATTCTCAGTCCATGGCTGTCCTGACTGATGGCACAGCTCACTACTGACTGGTACAACGACAATGCTTTTTTTCACTTTCCTTAGCCTCCTCATCTATAACACACTTTCTAATTCTACTTTAGTGTATCTTTTCTTTAAATTCCGTCTTTTACAAGTTTTGCAATAACATTCGGTTTGTAAAACACTTGCTTTACGGCACTATTCACCTTACCCAGTAGCAGTTGTGAAAAAGAACATGATGTGGAAGCCTGTTATTGTGCTTCCATCTACGCTGGGCTCTTTGGTGAGATGACGAGCTGTGTTTTCAAGCCTTTTCTTGACTCTGACGTTGTGTATGTGTATATATGTGCGTGTTTGTGTGAGTGTGTTGCCTTGGTTATTGTTCAGCTGCTATGAGCCACACATCTGTTTGAGAACACTGAATCAAGTTCAACATTTTGATCTACAGCACTTTAGTCTGGGACTCCAATGTGTCTGGAGGCCTCTGTACAATGTGTGGTCACCGCTAAAGAGAGCAATTGTTCTGTTAGCTGCTGAGCTTCTGGTCGAAGTCTCAGTCTGTTGCAGCCGACGTACGTCTGAGTTACTAAGATTTGGGAGTGGGGCTTCATTGAGTTTGGATTTTTTTAAACTTTAAGTCACAACTGATTTTAGACTTAACTAGAATAAATTGGGGATTTGCCAATGTTTGTGCTACGTTTTACATCCTGCCATAAAACATTTCTGAAGTTGACCATTGGGTTTATTGTAATGAGAAGAATTGAACATTTACATCTTGGAGATTTAAATCATCAATTCAAATAATAGTCTGCAACAATTCTGCTGCAAAAGTCATTTTTGTATCAGATGGGTGAGACATGAAAAGGAAAACCAATATGAAGTCTCTCAGTGAGTCGCTGGTTCACCCTGAGCCTCCAGAACGGCTTCAATGCTCTTTGGCATGATTATTATAGTTTGGGGAATGTTGGATTTCTTCAAATAAATCATTTTGATCATTAAGCCCCTACTGGTTTGCCATTGGTATATGCAGCACCAGAAGGAAACTGCAGGCAATGAGCCGCAACCTTTTTATAGGCTCGCTGTGGAAGACGTGCTTTAGACGTGCTAAAGTTCTCAGAGCCCTGAAGCTTCACCTCTACTCAACGTGTCACGTTTCCAAACTGCACCAAATTCCTGGGTTCCTCAGCAATATCCCCCCAGATGTGAAGGCAAGACAAGCTTATTTGTATACGAGATTTACACAATGAGGCAATTCAATGTGCTTCAGATGAAACCATTAAAAGCATCAAAATATATAATATAAATGTTTAATTTGAAAACAATTAGGAACATTTATTGAAACATTAAAATCAGACATTAAAACAATAAACAAGCTAAAAAATATAGTTGCAGTCTATAAAACAATTCGTAGTAAATTGCAGAAATGTAGGAAAAGGCCAGTTTAAGGTTCCCAGAATTTCCTTTTTATCCCGGTTTCATTCTGACTCTGGAAACCGGAAGGCCAGACGACCTGAGGGGTCGGGATGGTTTGTAAGGTAGCAGCGGGTCAGACACGTAACCATTCGGTGATTTATAAACCAACAGCAGGATTTTAAAGTAAATTATTTGTTGGGCAGGAAGCCAGTGGAAAGACCTCTAAACTGGAGTGATGTGATCCACTCCAGCATCCATTAGCTGTAGCGTTCTGACTGACCTCTAGTTTTTGATTAGTTCATTGCATTTATCTGAAATTATTGTCCCATTGCGATATAGTTATGTAGATTTTTTGTGTTGCCTGCATAATTTGTTTCTCTTGTACGGATTTTGTGTCCGATCAACCTCTACAGACGGGCCCCTCTCGGAGGTCCGTCGCCCAATAGCTGGTTCAAATAAAATCAACTCAATGTTTATTCTATAACATAATCCAGTCCCAATATTCAATTGAAAAGAACCTCAACGTGATCAAACCCGACAGTCTGGCGTTTCCCAGTTCAGATGTCTGGCCCAATCCCAGAGAGACTCTCTATTTCGGAGTAGTTGTCCGTACGTTATCAAACCGTTTACCTCTAGAATTGTCTGAGATGTGACCGGAGCCACGATAAGTCATTGGCTCAGGGATTGACTGCCCCTATGGCGCCAAATCCAGGTCAAAGGTTTTGTTCGTTTGGGGGCGGGACATCAGCTGGGAGGGGCGTGTGAGTGACCGCATTGCCTTGAGGAGACGTAGGCACACGAGACTTAAGAATCAACCCTCTCTTTTCACTGTATTTGAGATTGGATGTAAAACCATTGACGGCAGAGACAAAGACTGTTAGCGAGCTGTTTTTGATCCTACTTGCCATGAGTCGCAGAATAAGACCAATTAACTATCTCGGAATTAACCATTCATCAACCACGCATGAATCTTGGAGGTTTCCCACTTCCATAAACAACTGTGCGATGGTGTCTTGAGTTTGGTAAACTCAACGTTGATGAAACACAAACGACACCTCTCTGTAACCATGGTTTGTTTATTTGTTTATTTAAAAGGATCCCCATTAGCTGACGCTGAGACGACAGCTAGTCTTCCTGGGGTCCAAAAAAAAAAAGAACAGTAATCACAATTACTCACATATATCATATATAAATACACACAAGACAAGAAAAAGTAATTAAAGTAATAAAAAATAATGCAAAACACCAGGACACATGATACAACCTCGCTCAACCATTCCAGACGATGTTATGATGTTGAAAACAAATGCAGTCTTAATCTTTTTTTAAAACCAGTTGGTGACGTCGCTTTGCAGATGGTTCCTGTGTACTCGTCTCACACGCGGCTGCTCATTAAGAATGTGATTCGTCCAGCTCGCAGTCCGTATTGGTAAAATGATGGTTAATTAGGGTTGTAGCTGGTTGTCTACATCACTACGGTTACAGAGAGGTGTCGCTTCACTGACGAGCTGTTGAACCAGGATGTCCAAATCTGTGCTCTGCCTCATTTGTTAAGCTGTCACTCATAATTATACGCCCCGCCCAGTTGATGCCCCGCCCCCTACGTCACATCAGGGTCAAAAGTCAATCTGAAAACAAAATCTGCAACTGAAAAATACAATACCCCCCGAATATCAAAAAATATATTCAAGTGAAGATTGAAAACAAAAATGTTCCTGCACTTACTGGCCACACCGTGTAATGTCTCCGCCCCCTGTTGAAGAGGAGTTCCTTCTTGTCATTAGTCCACTCTGATGTGTAATTAGCTACACAAAGTATTCTTGGTTCTTCAAAGATTCAAACCACAAATGAATTCAATTATTGAATACCATAAAATGGTTTTACTTTGCCAACCGACATTTGCTAGCACTGGCTAACGCAACCCTTTTTGCTAGTGCCTGTCTGATTGGCCCTGCATGAGCAACACGCGGAGATAGAGAGATACTTTATTGATCCCTCAAGAGGGAAATTTTGGTATCACAGCAGCATGTACAGGGAAGAAAAAAGATTAAAAAGATACACAATATATACAATATAATAAGATAGAAATATTAAATTCTTAAATTAAATTAAACTAAAACTGAAACAAAAGAATAACCTTCCAAAAGAGACTAGAATAATAATTTGTAAAAGGGGAAGAGGAAGAGCAGCAACATCACAGCAGTACAGGGTTGTTATTGTCATTATTTAGCCAGGGATGATTTATTGTAAAGTGTTACTGCACTGGGCAGGAATGACCTCCTGTATCGGTCCTTGTGACAGCAGAGCTGAAGGAGTCTGTTGGAGAACGTGCTCCGCTGTCCCTGTAGCAGGTGGTGGAGGGGGTGGTCAGGATTATCCAATATGGATAACAGTTTCTTCAGGGACCTCCCCTCCAACACCTTTTCCAAGCTGTCCTGTTTGCAGCCAATGGTGGAACCGGCCTTCTTAACAAGTCTGTTGGTGTCACTGGCTCCAATGCTGCTCCCCCAGCAGACCACGGCGAAGTACAAAGCACTGGCCACAACATCCCCTTCCTGTAGACGGCGTTGATGTTGATCTTCCAGTTCAGTCTGTTGTCGATGGAGATACCCAGGTACTTGTAGTCCGACCATGGCCACCTCCTCTCCCAGAACCCTCAGCGGTAGCGGAACCGTCGTCTTCCTCCCGAAGTCGACCACCATCTCTCTGGTCTTGGCCACGTTCAGGAGCAGGTGATTTCTGCCCGCCCACACAACAAAGTCCTCCACTATTGCCCTGTACTCCTACTCCCATCCATCCCTTATACACCCTACCACTGCAGAGTCATCAGAGAATTTCTGCAGATGGCAGGACTCTTATAGTTACACTGAAAGTCAGTGGTATATAAGGTGAACAGGAAGGGAGACAGAACAGTTCCATGTGGAGCTCCAGTACCACTGACAACTGTATCAGACCGCACGCTGCCCAGTGTGGCCTGCCTGTCAGGTAGTCCGTGATCCAGGAGACTGTGGACGAGTCCACCCCCACCACCCGCAGCTTCTCACTCAGCAGCAGTGGTTGGATGGTG